TCAGGCAGTTCTGAAGTATTTATTGAATGAATGAATAAACAGAGCAAAGAGGGGAGAGGGCTTAGACTGCTCTTCTCCATCCTGGTGGCAGAGCCAGAAGCTCTGGTGGATGACACCCTCGGGGTGCAGCCCAAAGGGAGCAGAGAACAAGGGCAGAGTAGAGGGAGCCTGTGCGTGGTGGCCGCTTTTCTTTCTTACTCTGCAGCCCTGTACACTGCCTCGATTTTGAATTTTTACCATTTTATCATTACATGAAGCATGCCCATCCCCTCCTTTGACCACAGAAGGGGATTCGAACATTGCCTGGCTTGTCCCAGCTCTGTGGCCAGGGCCAGCCATGCCGCTCCTGATTTGAGCTCTTCTTGGACAGATGAGGCCACCTCCTTCACCATCTCCTCACATGGTCATCACTGAGCCTTTCTGTAGGTGCCACGGAGGAACCAAGAAGGCTCTGAGAGGCATGAGCAGGAGGCACCATCCTCTATTTGGGTGATTTGCGTAAGAAAGAAGAACGGGAGTTTCCAGGAGGGTGGGAGACAGGGACCAAGGGCTGGATCTGAGGGCCTGAGAGCAGCATATGGGCTGCAGAGAGGAGGCAGTGATCCCGTCTCAAGAGCCTCACCAGACAGAGGCGTGTGGACCCACTGCTTCCAGCCAGGTAGTGGCACTGAAGAGTTTCCCATAGGGCCAGTGACACTGGACTAGCTGGGCAGAGCTGTGTAGAGACCAGAGGAATGGCCACCTTTCATTTCTTAACTGGGCAGTCATGACGTGCTCATTTTAACCACTTTTTCACAGTGACCTGCTGGGCGGGCCCCCACCATGGACCCCTGAAGAAATGGACTCTAACTTTTAAACATAAGCCTACCTGTTTTCTTCCAATCCGATTCACTTTCCTTTCCCAATCAGGGTGATCCTACTCATAGCCTTCTCTGAAAGTCTACAGGGTTTGCAGCTACGGTTTCATTCATCTTTTTGCCCATTTATGCAAAACGATGCATAAGCCGTGATTCTGTCTAGACAAAACTCAGACGCAATAGTCTAGCCAGAAGACAGAACGGTGCCCTGCCTGCCTGCGATGTGAAGACCAGGGTGCTGGAGAGTGCAGAATGAGAAAAGTTCACTTCAAGTGGGTAAGATCAGCTCTCTTTATAAGTAATCCATGGGAACTAACGACCTCTCTGTGAGTGAGGAAGGAGTTTCAGAAATGCCCAAACTACATTCAAATTGACAAACAGCACAACTTCAGAAATGCCTTCGGATGTTTAAGTGGTCTGGTGGGTCACATTTTATTAGGTCTTAAGAAAGTTTCTCTTAAGAAAGAGAGAAGATAGGAACCTAGAGAAGGATCTTAGAAATGAGATTGGGCAGGTTTTTCAACTGAACTGCGAGAAACGGAACAGCACACAGGCATGCTGTGTCATCTGAAACAGAATAATGCTGAACATCTGACCGTAACCTAGTTCTCCCTGGAACGTGTTCTTCAAGACAATGACAAGTGTCCCTCAAGAACGAACTTCATCATAAAGTAAGTTTGCCATCAGCTGGAGTTAATACATTCTTATTCTAACACCTGTCGGTCTGGCTCTGCTATAGCGAGGTGTGAATTTCTAAGAAGGGGCGGTGTTGTGCCCTGAAGTTGGTGGGGACTCAGCAGAGCCCAATGGCCATCAGCTCACCAGAAGGTGTGAAAAGGGAGAATCCCGTTGCTAGTTGATTTTGCTGTGCAGAAGCTCTTCAGTTTAATTGGATCCAATTTGTCCACTTTTGCTTGTGTTGCAAGTGCTTCTTGCATCTTCGTCATCAAGTCTTTGCCTGTTCCTATGTCCAGAATGGTACTGTCTAGGTTGTCTTCCAGGGTTTTTATAGTTGCGGGTTTTACATTTAAGTCTTCAATCCATCTTGGAACAGAAAACCAAATACCACATGTTCTCACTGATAAGTGGGTGCTAAATGATGAGAACATGTGGGCCCACAGAGAGGAGCAATGCACACATGCAGGGGGCTCCTTGAGGAAGGCGGGAGAGGAGCAAGGAAATAAGTATTGGCTACTAAACTTCATCCAGGGTGATGAAACAATCTGTACAACAAAACCCTGTGACCTGAGTCACCTATACAACAAACCTGCCCCTGTACCCCTGAACCGAAAGTAAAAGTAAAAAAAGAAAGAAGAACCCAAGCAGCCAAGTGACAGGCTTCCTTCAGGCACAGAGAGGGAGGAGTGAGGGTCTCAGGGCTCACCACCCCCTGGAGGGACCCTGGGAGAGGAGCCACAGACAGGGCTGTCACCACTGACACCACTGGTCTGCGATACATCCAATGCTGTGTGCTCTAATCCACACTCCAAAAAAGCCAGTCTGGTCACAGGGATACAAGGATTCCAGTTCCTGGGACAGGAATTTCTCCTTTGAGTAGGATTCTTCCTTCTTCCAGTCCTATACTCATTAAAAGACAACAAACACACTAAGGCCAAAGGCAATCCCGCCCCCAACATAAACAGGAGCCCCAAGGGTCCAGGCCACCATCTTCCCAGCGCAGCTTTCCTTCTCAGCCAGTGTGGCATAGCTCCACCCTCTGTGCAGCCCGGGCACAGTTGGTCAGGAATTTTGCAGGCCATGCCTCACTTGGAATTTGTCTGTTTTTCTCATGTTATGGATGTTATGCAGCTTTTGGGAAAAGTGCCATTTTCATCCCACACTGCCAAGGACAGATGTCAGCTTGATGTGTGGGTGCTGATGGGGGCCCTGGCCACTGGGCTGGAGTGGTGCTGGCCAGGCACCCGTGCTGCACACTCCTCAGTGTTCCACCCTTCCGCACCCCATTCCCTTCACACGAAGACAGCGCCCTGGGCTGGATGTCAGAGCACCCGGTCACACGGCCCTGGGGGACCTCCAAATCGCCTGCTGGGATTCTGCCTCCCCTCCACTACAGCACAACACCCTCCAGGGGGATGTCCCCAAATGTATTCTCTGCCTCCAACTCGTGGGTGCTCCAGTCCCCACTGTGTGATAGCTCTGCTGAGTGGACAGCGTGGGCAGCCAAACTTTGGGAGGCTGAAGGGGCATCTTCATGGTTGGTCCCCAGGGTGAGCACACGTGCATTTGTTAGGGCTGCCCAATGCCGCTACATAAAGTCCTACCAAGTGACAGTCTCCCCAGCAATTACGTGAGCCAGCCTCTGTTTCCCCACAGCCTCGACAACAGGTGCTGACAGATTTTTACATTTTTGCCACTCTGACAAGGGAGACAGGGTGTTTCAATGCTCTTTCAATTTGTATTGGAAACTGACCATGACTTGCAGGCGAACACGTGATCTATTCATCTGCACAGCCAGCGGACCTCTTACAACCCAACAATACACCTACATCTCTTGACCTTTTCCTCAAAAACACACATACAGAGAAGCTTTTCAGATCTTGTCTTGCCATAGCTAGACTCCCGGCTGGTGTTAAATCTTAAGACTCTGCATCTCTAGCAGCCTGGGGATACACAGCTGCGCTGTGGCACGGTGGGCCTACCTTGAGGTGCGTGGCGCGCTTGAAGGCCTTCCTGCACACGGGGCAGCCGTGGATGCGCTCCCGGCCGTGCACCTCCTTGCTGTGGTGCATCAGCACCGCCGCCGATGAGAAGGCGCGGTCACATTCCAGGCACTGGTGGGCCCGGCCCTCCTTCTCCGGCTGGCTGCCCGGGGCCAGGTTTCCAGAGACGCCAGCTACCTGGAAAGGGCCAGAAATTCTGTGACTTTCCATGTACTCGACTGGACTTGTGCAGTCTGTGAACTGACACACGCCAAGGTGATAACAAGGACATTCCTAGCACGGACACATTGAGCCCACATTGCATGTCCTAGTATCAGGGTAATTTAGCCAGAGGCACCTTCCATGCAATATGAGACCAGAATACACACTGTCCTGCAAGACTGAGACCATGCAACAGCAGGTAATGAATGAGCTCTGGTGCCGCACTGACCAGGTGCAAATCCCAGCTCCAACAGGACGGTCCGGGCTACTCCAGGCTAAGTACTGAAACAGTCCGTGCTTGGTCCTCCTGAGAGAAACACCTACCTGCCAAGGGCTGCACAGTGCAGGCATTCACTAGATGCTTGCTGCTGGTAGTAGCTTTAGATAAGCAATTCTTAATAACAAAAAGTGTTTTTAACCTTTAATAGAATTAAATCATTTTTTCCAAACTGTGGATCACAACCAGTTAGGTTTTCAAATCACTTTAATGGGATGCCACCACCACTTGAAAAAATAATGAAAACAGTAGGAGGAATTTATTAAGCAGCCTTTTTTCTTTTCGATTTTTTTTTTTTTTTCTTTTTTTGAGATGGCGTCTTGCTCTTTTTCCCAGGCTGAAGTACAATGGCACAATCGCAGCTCCCAACAGCCTGAAACTCCTAGGATCAAGCAATCCTCCCACCTCAGCCCTCCCAAATACCTCGGATCATAGGTACTCACCACCTCACCATCATGCCCAGCTAATTTTCTAATTTTTTTTGTACAGACAGGGTATCCCTATGTTGCTCAGGTTGGTCTTAAAACTCCTGGACTCAAGGGATCCTCCTGCCTCAGTCTCCCAAGTGCTGGGATTAAAGGTATGAACCACCGCACCTGGCTGACTCAGCTTTTGTAAACAACAGATTTCAATTTTGCAGATGCAAATTTCTATGAGACAGCTTAACAAAACAATCATAATGAAAATTAACGAGATTGGTTAACATTTTTATTATTCCCAGTTTATCAAATACTTTTTCATTAATTTGGGAATATAATATAAGAAATAAATAAAAATTAAAGAAAAATACTTAAACAACAACAAAATATTTCTACAGGGTGCTGTATTATTAATTGGTGCTGTAATAAAAAAAAGAATGAAATTGGAAAAAAGGAAACAAAAGAGAAGGATCAGAAAAGACATGACTGCCATGTGAGATGCCTGGGACAGGAGTTATTCCATAGAATGACATCTGTGTCAGGTGCGTGTCTACACATGAGTATCTGTAGGTGTTATTCTATAATATGACACCTGTGTCAGGTGTGTGTCTACACATGAGTATCTGCAGGTGTTATTCTATAATATGACACCTGTGTCAGGTGTCTACATGTGAGTATCTGTAGGTGTTATTATATAATATGACACCTGTGTCAGGTGTGTGTGTCTATGCGTGTCTGTAGGTGTTATTCTATAATATGACACCTGTGTCAGGTGTGTGTCTACACATGAGTGTCTGTAGGTGTTATTCTATAATATGACACCTGTGTCAGGTGTGTGTCTCCACATGAGTATCTGTAGGTGTTATTCTATAATATGACACCTGTGTCAGGTGTGTGTCTCCACATGAGTATCTGCAGGTGTTATTCTATAATATGACACCTGTGTCAGGTGTGTGTTTCTATGCGTGTCTGTAGGTGTTATTCTATAATATGACACCTGTGTCAGGTGTGTGTCTACACATGAGTGTCTGTAGGTGTTATTCTATAATATGACACCTGTGTCAGGTGTGTGTCTCCACATGAGTATCTGTAGGTGTTATTCTATAATATGACACCTGTGTCAGGTGTGTGTCTCCACATGAGTATCTGCAGGTGTTATTCTATAATATGACACCTGTGTCAGGTGTGTGTTTCTATGCGTGTCTGTAGGTGTTATTCTATAATATGACACCTGTGTCAGGTGTGTGTCTATGCGTGTCTGTAGGTGTTATTCTATAATATGACACCTGTGTCAGATGTGTGTCTACACGAGTATCTGTGTTATTCTATGACACCTGTGTCAGGTGTGTGTGTCTATGCGTGTCTGTAGGTGTTATTCTATAATATGACACCTGTGTCAGATGTGTGTCTACACATGAATATCTGTGTTATTCTATAATATGACACCTGTGTCAGGAGTGTGTGTCTATGCGTGTCTGCAGGTGTTATTCTATAATATGACACCTGTGTCAGGTGTGTGTGTCTCCACATGAGTATCTGTAGGTGTTATTCTATAATATGACACCTGTGTCAGGTGTGTGCATCTACACGTGAATATCTGTAGGTGTTATTCTATAATATGACATCTGTCAGGTGTGTATCTACACATATCTGTAAGTGTAAACAAAAATGACAGAAACACGTGTGTTTCAGGTCACTGCATATAAATACATTCTATGTGTGTCAAAAAAGTCTGATAAGCACAGGAATAAATGACACTGAAGGCTAGTTCTGTAACTGCAGATAAATACATGCTGAAGAACATCAACTCAAGCAAAAACTTGTAGTTATGGAGCTGCCTCATGTCCTCCATCAGTATTGCCAAGTATCCCCCAGTAGTCATGGTGATGAACACACACAGAAAATTGTTTCTGACCCAAAAATTTTACTCATGAGATGTGAGAATTCATTAACTGGTCCAGATCATTCAAGAAAAGACAAACACACAAGACTTCAAAAGCTATTTCTGCAAAATATTTTTCAGCATAACCACAGCAAAGCTTCCGAATCATTGCTACTACTGTGAAATATTCAATGTTCTGCTGAATTTCATAATTACATATATATGAAAATCTGGAAAGAGACTCAATTATATTAATAGAATATTGCTAAAATCATACTTCTCCAAAAGAGAAGGGGAAATCAGTGAGAGAATGAGTGTGAGATGACTTTTCAGCCTGAAACATAAACTCGGCCACATCTAGAAATCATCTCATCTGCTTCCCACAACAGTTATTCCATGTGGGGGCAGGAGGATAGCAGCGTGTATGAACCTCCCAAGCATGAGGAGTGTGGCTTTTGGAAAGCAGAAGAGGGAGGAAAGCAGCCTTACATCCACCTCCTAATGAGCCCAGAGAGACCCAGTGCTGATCCAATATTCTTTGTGTGCAGCGGCCAGCACTGGCAGGAACTTTAATGTTTGCTGAATTCAAACAAGGCAGCTTTCAGAGAAATACTATCCACAACACACACCTGGGCACATGATCAGCCTTCTGACCCCAAACCTCCCTCTAAAAACCTGCCCCTTACCAAATAGCCCAGCTGAGACCAGCTGAGCTCAAGTAACAAGAAATCCAGGTGTAAATGCTCAAAACGATATTCTTCTATTAAGACATGAAGAGTGGGGTAAGACAGATCTGGGTTCAAACGCCAGCTCTCTCTGCTGGCAGGATAAGTTATTCAAAGCTACCCTTAAATCATAGATTCCTTATGAGTAAAATGGCCCTGACACTTAGACACCTCAAGGCTGTGGGGAAGGCTTGGCTACATAAGACCACATGCCCAGTGGGAGCCTGGCCTCAGACAGCTGGCCAGCCAGTGTCGTCTCTTTTCTCCAGCAAAACCAGCTTCAAAAGAAGGCCATGCCCCTTAAGCAGTGAGTGGAGGAGGAAAGGCAGTTTGCTGCAGCAGCTCCCCGCTGATGTAATAGCTTGAAGTTGCTAACCAAGTTAGGTCAGGTCTCTTAATCCTTACGGGAAGGGTCAGGTAGAAATTAGCTCATTCCTTTTTGTAAAGACAGGCTGAGTAAGGGGGCAGACTGTCAATGGCTCTCTTAGGATAAAGACGATTTTACATTGTAAGCACACATCTTGTCAGATCAGGATGGATTTCTCTTCAGATGAACCATGAAGAAAAAGATTTTTAAAAAGAAAAGCAACGATAGTTGCTCTAGGGACTTCACTAGAGAGTGGGGTGAGCCCCGGGCTGTAGCCGCTCCACCACCGGTAGTGTCCTCACCTGAGCACTTGCTTTGGGCCGGGGCCTGTGCTCAGTGCCAGGGAACGTTATTTGCCCAAACTCTGACCACCATGAGGCAGTCCTAACTACACCTCTGTTTGAGGGTTTTTTTTTTGAAGCACGAATTCGCTCTGTCACCCACGCTGGAGCGCAGTGGCGAGCACAACTCACTGCAGTCTCGAACTCCTGGGCTCAAACAGTCCTCCTGCCTCAGCCTCCTAAAGTGCTGGGATTACAGGTGTGAACTACTATGTCTGTCTTCAAAACAGGCCATCACACAGACCTAGGATTGCCTGAGATCTCTTGGCCAGAAAGCATGGGAGCAGGGATGTACACACATCACCAGAGGCTACAGCCAGCACTCCTAGCCACTCTACAGTGGGTTCAGATAAGCCCAGTGTGCTCAAACGGGTCCCAGCTTCCTCCCAGATGCACAGGCCACAGGCAGACCCAGGCATGGGTCTGAAGTCTCTGGTCAGTGCCCAGGTCAGAGCCTGGAAGCGCCCATGTGCATTCCATCTGTGTCAAGAGAGCATTAAGATGAAATTAGACAGTGATTAACACCAATTAATGTTGGCAAACAGTGCTACCACCTAACAAGGGAAATTTTCAGAAAACATCTAACAGAATTTCTCTCGATAATTCCAGACATGTCTTGTTTTCATTGAACTTTGCTTCTTTTTGCCCTTCATAGATACCATTTCATTTTTACAAACTGAAAGTCTGTGGCAGTGCTGCTTCGAGCAAGTCTCTCGGTGCTATTTTTCCAATGGCACATGCTCACTTCCTGTCTCTGTGTCACATTTTGGTAATTCTCGCAACATTTCAAACGTTTTCATTATAGTGCTATCTGTTACAGTAACCTGTGATCGGCGATCCTCGATGTTACTTCCGTAATTGTTTGGGGCACCACAAACCCCGCCTACATAAAATGGGAAACAATCTACAAACGTTGTTTGTGTCTGGCTGCTTTATCGCCTGGCCATCCCACCTCTCCTTGGGCCTCCCTGTTCTCTGAGACACAACAATACTGGAGTTAGGCCAATTAATAAACCTCCGATGGCCTCTTAAGTGTTCAAGTGAAGGAAGAGTCACACAACCCTCACTTCAAAAGCTGGAAATGATTAAGCTTAATGAGGAAGGCATGGAGAGAGCTGAGGTAGGCTGAAAGTGCAGCCTCTTGTGTCAAACTATTAGCCAAGCTGTGAAATGAAGGAAACGTTCTTGAAGGAAATCAAGTGTTATCCAGTGAGCCCACGAATGATAAGAAAGTGAAACTGCCTTATTGCTGATAAGCCGAAAGTTTTAATGGCCTGGACAGATCAAAACAGCCATAACCTTCGCTTAAGTCAAAGCCTAATCCAGAGCAAGACTCTCTCTTCCACATTATGAAGTCTGAGAGCTGAGGAGGCTGCAGAAGGAAAGCTGGAAACCAACAGAGGTTGGTCCAGGAGAACTAAGGACAGAAGCCGCCTCTATAACATAACAGTGCAAGGTGGAGCAGCAAGTGCCGATGGAGAAGCTGCAGCAAGTTCCCCAGAACATGCCAGCATCTTCAATGAAGGTCACTTCACTGAACAACAGATTTTCAGTGCAGGCAGAACAGCCTTATAGTGGAAGAAGATGCCACCTAGGCCTTGCATAGCTATAGAAAAGTCAGTGTCTGTCTTCAAAGTACAGGCTGACTCTCCTGTGAGGGGCTAATGCAGCTGGTGACTTTAAGTTGAAGCCAGTGCTCATTTATCATTCCAAAATCCAAGAGCCCTGAAGAATGATGCTAAATCCATTCTTTCTGTGCTCTACAAATGAAACAATAAAGCCAGAATGACAGCATGTCTGTTTACACCATGGTTACTGAATATTTTAAGCCCACTGCTGAGACCTACTGGTCAGAAAAAAATGATTCCTTTCAAAATATTCCTGCTCATTGACAATGCACCTGCTCACCCAAGAGCTGTGATGGAGGTATACAGAGATGGATGTTGCTTTCATGTCTCGCTTCCAAAGTTTTCCTTTCATGAAACGGAAATCTTTTATGAAAGGAAGAATAGATGCAGTAAACTTCATTGTTGTCTTATTTTAAGAAATTGCTATAGACACCCCAACCTTCAGCAACCAACACCTTCATCAGTCAGCAGCCATCAACATCAAGGCGAGAGCCTCCACCAGCAAAATGATTGCACTCCCTGAAGGCTCAGGTGATCGTCAGCATTTTTAACAATAAGGTATTTTTTTAGTTCACTTTTTAATTGCATTTTAGGTTTTGGGGTACATGTGAAGAACATGCAAGATTGTTGCATAGGTACACACATGGCAGTGTGGTTTGCTGCCTTCCTCCTCATCACCTATATCTGGCATTTCTCCCCATGTTATCCCTCCCCAACTCCCCAACCCCACTGTCCTTCCCCTATTTCCCCCCAACAGAACCCAGTGTGTAGTGCTCCCCTCCCTGTGTCCATCTGTTCTCATTGTTCAACACCCACCTATGAGTGAGAACATGCAGTGTTTGATTTTCTGTTCTTGTGTCAGTTTGCTGAGAATGACGGTTGCCAGCTTCATCCATGTCCCTACAAAGGATACGAACTCATCGTTTTTGATGGCTGCATAGTATTCCATGGTGTATATGTGCCACATTTTCCCTGTCTAGTCTATCATTGATGGGCATTGGGTTGGTTTCAAGTCTTTGCTATTGTAAACAGGGCTGCAATGAACATTCGTGTGCATGTGTCCTTATAATAGAACAATTGATAATCCTTTGGATATATACCCAGTAATGGGATTGCTGGGTCAAATGAAATTTCTATTTCTAGGTCCTTGAGGAATCGCCACACTGTCTTCCACAATGGTTGAACTAATTTACACTCCCACCAACAGTGTAAACGTGTTCCTATTTCTCCACATCCTCTCCAGCATCTGTTGTCTCCAGGTTTTTTAATGATCGCCATTCTAACTGGCGTGAGATGGTATCTCAATGTAGTTTTGATTTGCATTTCTCTAATGACCAGTGATGATGAGCACTTTTTCATATGTTTGTTGGCCTCATACGTGTCTTCTTTTGTAAAGTGTCTGTTCATATCCTTCGCCCACTTTTGAATAGGCGTGTTTGTTTTTTTTCTTGTAAATCTGTTTTAGTTCTTTGTAGATTCTGGATATTAGCCCTTTGTCAGATGGGTAGATTGCAAAAAATTTTTTTCCCATTCTGTTGGTTGCCGATTCACTCTAATGACTGTTTCTTTTGCTGTGCAGAAGCTGTGGAGTTTGATTAGGTCCCATTTGTCTATTTTGGCTTTTGTTGCCAATGCTTTTGGTGTTTTGGTCATGAAGTCCTTGCCTACACCTATGTCCTGAATGGTTTTGCCTGGATTTTCTTCTAGGGTTTTTATGGTGTTAGGTCTTATGCTTAAGTCTTTAATCCATCTGGAGTTAAGCAATAAGGTATTTTTAAATCAAGGTATGTACATTAAAAAAAAAAATAATAATGCTGGCTGGGCATGGTAGCTCACGCCTATAATCCCAGCACTTTGGAAGGCTGAGGTGGGCGGATCACTTGAGATCAGGAGTTCCAGACAAGTCTGGCCAACATGGCAAAACCCCATCTCTACTAAGAATACAAAAATTAGCCAGGTGTGGTGGTGCACACGTGTAATCCCAGCTACCTGGAAGGTTGAAACAGGAGTTAAAGTGAGCTGAGATTGCACCACTGCACTCCACCCTGGGCGACAGAGTGAGACTCTGTCTCAAAAAAAAAAAAAAAAAAAAAAAAAAACACACAATGCTGCTGAACACTGTTATTACAGTATAGTATAAACATAATGTTTATATGCCCTGGGAAACCAGCAAATTAGTATGACTTGCTTTGTTGTGATAATTGCTTTATTGCAAGCGTTAGTTACTCAGGTCAAATTTCAGGACATCCCCATTGCTGGTTAAATCTCATTTCTTTGTGAAAAAGCCCTTGTCCTACTGAAAAGCCAGTAAGTTATTATTTTGAAAACTCATTTGCCAAAATGTTTAATGCTTCTTAAAATCAGAGATTATTCATCATCTGTGCTTTAATTTTCACCCTGGAAACTTTTAAGGGAAGAGTTTTTAGACTCTTCTATATTTAGACTATTGCTTACTAAATATTTTGCCCCTCCCCAAAACATGTAATAATTGTTTTATTGCAATGATCACAACAAAGCAAGAGGTCTAGAACTGACCCCAGGATATCTCTGAGGTAGGCCTGTATTCACTCATACAGATTAGTTATCTACTTCATTTTTATATTTAATTAACCTGTCAAATACTGAAAAAAAAAAAATACAAGCTAGACCAAGTTTTAATATTTGATTTATCTCATTACCATCTACTACTCAAATAGAAGTTAAAATGGAATATATCACTTGAATGGGGACATTTCAAATTAATCTTAACATAGGATTACTCTACAAACATTATTCTAGCTATATGAAACCAAATGCTAAAATCATAATGTTAAAAAATAGCAAAGCAGTTTCATTTACTAGTCACATAAAATATAGGAATTAGGTAAGGTGTGCCTTGGAACTGAATTAGGAACTCTCTGAAACATACCAGACTAATAAGCTTTCACTACAAAGCATCATGAGAAAGGGAGCTTAAAAAGATGACCAAGATGCCAGTGCTTTTTCTGTCTAGATGAATGTGTGCAGTCAACAGTTACCTCACCAGGCCTGAGGTGCTTAAACCCTGCACACTCCATAGTGCCCTCTATCAGCTCCCGAGACATCCCCAATAAGCATCCTGTTATTTACAGATAAGAGAGCATTTTCAACCCCAGGACCCTGGGCAACGCCAAACATTTTGTGCTGATGATGTGACTTATGGTGAAAGCCTATTTTTGTTTGTTTGGGGACCTGGGCCACTGCATCAGTTTGACCTGGAGAGGCAGGGACCTGGAGACTGCACAGGTAAGCCCAGTCATGCCCACATGACTGACCCAATACAATTCTGGATACCAGAGCTTAGCTGAGCTTCCCAAGTTGGCGACACTTTACAGGTGCTGTCACACAACGTTCCTGGGAGAATCAGCAGTGTCCATGCAACCCCACTGGGAGAAGACATCAAGAAGCTTATACCTGGGTTCTCTGGACTCCCCCGCAATGTGCCTTTTCCTTCTGCTGGTTCTAATTTGCACCCTTCCACTGTAACCACAAGTATAAACCACAACCAAGAGTATATCAGATTTCTCTGAATCCAGTGAGACCTTGGAGTGTATCATCAAACCTGAGGGCGGTCTTGGGGACCCCAGACACAAATGTGTTAAAGTTACACAAACTGAAATTCAGTGAGAGGAGCTCTGGTTCCTCAGGCCAAATTGCAGGACATCCCCAGTGCTGGTTACATCTCACCTCGTCGTGAAAAAGCCCTTGTCCCACTGAAAAACCAGTAAGTCATTATTTTGAAAACTCATTTGCTAAAAATGTTTAATGCTTCCTATATTCAGAGATTATTCATCATCTGTGCTTTAATTCTGACCCTGAAATCTTTAAGAAGAGTTTTTAGATTCTTCTATATTTAGACTACTGCTTACTAAATGTTTTGGCCCCTAAAAACATGCATTTGAAGAAAAAAGGCTAAACAAATGACAAATAGGTCTTGTGCACGTGCGCGCACACACGTATATTAAAATATAGATGACACTTAACAGAATCAGCAAAGGTGTTACTAGAAAATCTGCAGAAAGAACTGAGTGCAGTGGCTGGCTATGTGAGGTCTGATTGGTAGGCAAATATATTAAGATATTAATAAATTTAAAATTAGATCACTGGTGGCTACATCTAATTTTGTGGTACTAAAACCTCACTCGCTAAGAAACAAATAACAAAATGAATGAGATATTATACTCGTCATTTAACACATGCTCCGCAGAGCCTAAGTCCACTCAGGATTCAGCTGGGGGCACCTCAGAAGTCAGCCCCAGCCCCAGCCACCTGGGCCACACAGCACCCCCCTGACCCTCTACTACCTTCCCTTCTGAATCTGTTTAAAAAGCAACAAAAGCTCTGTGGATGAAGGAATGTCCCGTACCTGGTAGGCTATTTCTTCACACGCAGCAGATGCAGACTGTGGCGTGTGGCTCACTAGTATGACTTGTGGTGAGCCTGCTCCACCCTGGCCGGAGAGAGAGGGATCCGTGAGGAGTGCTGGGAACTGCTGACCCTGGCAAAAGATTCGTACTATTTCAGAAGTTGAAAATCAGCAAAACAAGTAATAATTTAAAAGATCTTTTATGGTGCAGCTACCTTGGAAAACAAGCTGGTAGCTCCTAAAAAAGTGAACCATGGAGTCACCATGTGACCCAGCCACCGAGGAGAAGTGAAAACAGAGTCTTCTCAAAGCCTTGTACAGAAATGTCCACAGAAGAATTACCCACAGCCAAGAAACAGAAACATCCAAATGCCAATCAACTGATAAATGCACAAACAAAATGTGGTATAAGGGAATATTCTTTAGTAATAAGAAGGTACAGAGTTCTAGTACATGCTACAGCAATGGAGGAACCTTGGAAATACTCCACGGAATGAAAAAAGCCAGTCACACAAGACCACACGGATGATCATATTTCTATGAAATAGCCAGAATGGACACATCTACGGAGACAGAAAGTGGATCGGTGGTTGCCAGGGGCAGATGTAAGGGTAGGCCGGGGATGAGGGGAACATGGAGTGATGGCTCATGGCTCCATGCTTCTTTAATAGATGATGAAATGTTCTAAAATTAGATCATGGTGATGGTTGTACAACTCTGTAAATACACTGAAAACCATTCAGTTGTATACTTTAAATAAATGGGTAAACCTATATAAATTACATCTCAGAGTCTCTACATGTGTGTATGTATACAAAACACTTATTTGCTTAGAAACGCATATATAATTTTGCTATGCTATAGAAAACTACTGTAAATCTTTTTACCAGCCCAGCACACCTCTAGCTATGAGAGTGGATGAAGCAGCAGCTTAAAGGATCTGAATATCTACTGCAAATGCTGAATTGATGGAAATAATTCAGCATGCAACTTGATCTGCTGCAATCAGCACTGATTCTAAACATATTTTATACATAGTTAAAACCATGGCTGATGACAGGGGCATGGCTGATGTTGTTGGCTCCTGTGCTTTAAGGAGAGGGCCGTTTCTCTATGTCTTGGGGAGCTAATGAGCCCCTAACAGGCAAGTTAAGAATTGAGGAGGGGATGCTGTATTAGTCTGTCTTCACATTGCTGATAAAGACATGCCCGTGACTTGGCAATTTACAAAAGAAAGAGGTTTAATTGGACTTACAGTTCCCCGTGGCCGGGAAAACCTCACAATCATGGAGGAAGGCA